TAGAAAGTATAACTCAAAGACAAGTACAATCATAGATGGTTCTGTGAATCAGCATATATGAAAATCCCAAGAGAATGATTATAACTACGATTCTAGAATCAAAATGTGATATCTGGAATGTTTATAATTATTAGCTAATACAATATGGGAAAGGAACAGCAAGAAAGTCAATCAAGGTGCCAAGGCTGGCTCCACCAAAGAAGAACCAGAAGAACAAATAGCTGCAATTTAAGGTTAGGGGCACGGGAAGCCAGCAAGCGGGAGATGGCAACACTCTAAGATGCAGACTCCTGAGACAGCAGCAATGAGAGTAGTACAAAGCATGCTGGACAACTTGGTCCTCAGGCTGGGGCAGTTCTCATTACAGGGGGTAGAGTGAATGGGATAGTTACAGCAGGACCCATCACCATGGACCCATCACTGGCAATGCTTGGGCCTAGAGTTCCAGAGACGTTGGAAACTTGGAGTCCAGTTAGGAAAGCTACCTGGGATCTGCCCATAGTTATGCTTCAGAGCAAGTTCTGGCAGCATCTTTTCCCAAGCTACAGAGTCCAGGCTGTCATAGCACAGTGACATATAAGTGATGCCTGCCAGTCATCAACCCAAGGCACTATGAGCCTGAATGCTGCATGCTACACAACATGCTATCTTCAATGTCCCACCCACCTCCTGCAATAAATGTATGACATCTACTGCAGTTGCTACTGGAGGAAAATTCACTCTATGTTCTTGGTACCACTACTTCTATAGCTGGAGTGACCACATAGTGGATGTGCCATTACCACTGCTGTGAGCACAATATCCACTTGAGCCACTACAGTACCCTCACCCTAAGTGGCCTGTGGAGTTAGAAGGGCTAACTGACCTTACCACTGCAGGCACCACATTTAAGGCCAAAAGAGCTATGGAGACATGATATTATGGTGCCAAACTGGAAATAAAGCTGATGTAGCCCACCAAACAAATACTGTAAGGCACATCGTCAGGTTAAAGGCATTGACTATGAAGATACTTCATGAAATAGAGGGGCCAGCATTGCAGTGCAGTGGGTTAAGCCACAGCCCATGACCCCAGCATCTCATATGAGCACCTGCTGAATCCTGCCTGCTAATCCAGCTCCTGCTAACATGCAAGGGAAAGCAGCAGAAAATGGCCAAAATGCTTGGGGACCCTGTTCCCATGTGGGAGACCTAGATGGAGTTTCAGATTCCTGGCTTTGGCCTGGCCCAGCCCTGGCATTTGTGGCCATTTGGGTAGTCAATCAGCCATGGAAGATAGGTCTTTCTCTAGCTCTGCCTTTCAATTAAATGGAAAAAAAAAAAGTAATAGCTGATACCCGATATGAGAAAACAAGGTAACATGATGTCTCCCAAAGGCACTTGATAAATGTTGAGCAAGGGCCGGTGTTGTGGCGCAGTGGGTTAAGCAGCATGGATACTGATTCAAGCCCCACTTTTGATTCAGCTTCCTGCAAATGGCCTGGGAAAGCAGTGGAAGACGGCCCAAGTACTTGGGTCCCTGCCCTCACATTGAAGAACCCAATGAAGCTCCCAGCTCCTGACTTTGGCTTGGCCTGACCCAAGCTGTTGTGGCCATTTAGGGAGTGAATCAGTGGATGGAAGATCCATCTGACACTGCCTTTCCAATAAATAATTAAAACTTTTCTTAAAAAATAAATAGCAACAAATTCTAGCTCCCCACCCCCATGAACTAGCTGATAAATTTTAAAATGATAAAGAAACTCAATGACATACAATGCAAAGAAAATTAGGAAAACACTGTGTATATGATATGAATGTATGAATGATAAATTCAGCAGAAATAGGATTCTGAAAAAGCACTCAGTAAGTAAAACACAAAATATAATTGAAAGCCTCAACAAAAAACTATCAAGCAGAAAAAAATATCTGAACTTCTGAAGGCAGGTTCCAATATTAGGTGTACAAATATGTAAGTCTTGGGAAATTCTTGAAAAGGCACAGAAAAACCAAAATCGGCTGAAAATTTCCCCAACTTAAAGAATGGACACCCAGGGACAGTAGGCCCACAGAAACCCAAATAGACATGACCAGAAAAGATTCTCACCATTGGTATATCATAGCAAAATGACTAAAAGTACAACACTGGGGCAGGTGTTTTGGCGCAGTGGGTTAAGCCACTGCCCATATGAGTGCTGGAATTTACATATATACGGGTGGCTGGAATCCTGGCTACTCTGTGCTTCTTATTCAGCTTCCTGCATATGTGCCTGGGAGATGGCAGATGATAGCCGAAAGTATAAGTTCCAGCCACCCATATGGTAGACACAGATGGAGTATCCTGGCTCCTGCCTTCAGCATGGCCTACCCCTAACGATTGTTGGTACTGGGGAGTGAACCAGTAGATGGAAGATCTCTGTTTCTTCCTTTTTGCCTTTCAAATAAAAAGCAACACAAAGGGAATTCTAAAAACCACACAAGAAATCACCAAGTACATTAAAAGGAATTTCCATTCAGATGTTGTGCAGGCTAGGAGGGAAAGGCATTAAAGTATTCAAAGTTCTGAAGAAAAGAAGACGGTCACCCATAAATAGTATTCCTAACAAAACCATCCTTCAAATACGAAGGGGAAATAAAGACTTTGGAAGACAAGCAAAAATAAGTAATTCATCACCACCAGACCAGCCTTATGAAAGATGCTTAACGATATTCTACACAGAGAAGCAAAAGAAAGCTAACTCCTATCATGAAAACAAGTGAAATAAGCCAATCCCAAAGGGACAAATACCACATGTTCTCCCTGATAGGTGACAACTAACTGAGCACCAAAAAGGAAATGTGTTAAAGTGAAATGAACACTATGAGAAATGGTGACTTGATCAGCCCTCACCCTGACTGTTGATGAACAACTTAATATATTATCCCTCTTAGTATTTTTTTTGTTTGCTCTACTTAATACTTTTGGTTGAATACTGTAATCAATACACAATTATTCTTAAGTGCTGAAACTTAACTGAAAAGTGATTGCTGTTTAATATAAGAGTGGGAATAAGAGAGGGAAGAGATGTGAAATTTGGGAAATGCTCAAGCTGACTTACCTCAAACGGTAGAGTTAGAAACATACCAGGGGATTCCAATTCAATCCCATCAAGGTGGCATGTACCAATGCCATCTCACTAGTCCCAGTGATCAATTTCTGTTCACAATTGATCATAATGATAGGACTAAGAACCAAAGGGATCACATAAACAAGAATAGTGTCTGCAAATACTAGCTGATAGAATCAAAAAGGGAGAGAATGATCCAACATGGGAAGTGAGATACACAGCAGACCCACAGAATGGCAGATGTCCTAAACAGCACTCTGGCCTCATAATCAGCCCTTAAGGCATGCGGATCTGGCTGAAAAGCCCATGAGAGTATTTCAGGCATGGAAAGCCAAGACACTCTGGGGGGGGGGGGGAACCTAAATGAAAGATCTCCACGAGTGAGATTCCAGTGGAAAGAACGGGTCATCAAAGAAGGAGGTACCTTTCTCTGAAGGGATGAGAGAACTTCCACTTTGACCATGACCTTGTCTAAATATGATCAGAGTCTGTGAACTCAGGGGGCTTCCATAGCCTTGGCAACCCATGACAAGAGCCTAGGGTGATTACTGATGCCATAAACAAGAGTGTCAATTTGTTAAGTCAACAACAGGAGTCACTCCTCATGTAGGATCTCTGTCCTTAGTGTGCTGTACATTGAGATTTAATGCTATAACTAGTACTCAAACAGTATTTTTCACTTTATGTTTCTGTGTGGGAGCAAACTGTTGAAATCTTTACTTAATGTATGCTAAACTGATCTTCTGTATATAAAGAGAATCGAAAATGAATCTTTTTTTTTTTTTTTTTTTTTTTTTTTAAACTTTTATTTAATGCATATAAATTTCCAAAGTACGACTTATGGATTACAATGGCTTTCCCCCCATACCGTCCCTCCCACCCACAACCCTCCCCTTCCCAACTCCCTCTCCCCTTCCATTCACATCAAGATTCATTTTCGATTATCTTAATATACAGAAGATCAGCTTAGTATACATTAAGTATGGATTTCAACAGTTTGCTCCCACACAGAAACATAAAGTGAAAAATAATAGATGATTTTTTTAAATGATGATGAAATCAGAGCAGACCTATTGTCATGTTTAATCCCAGTGAGAGTCAAGTTGGGAATTGATAATTTCTTTTTTTTTTTTTTTTTTTTTTTTTTTTTTTTTTTTTTACAGAGGATCAGTTTAGTATGCATTAAGTAAGGATTTCAACAGTTTGCACCCCCATAGAAACACAAAGTGAAATATATTGTTTGAGTACACGTTATAGCATTAAATCTCAATGTACAGCACATTAAGGACAGAGATCCTACATGAGGAGTAAGTGCACAGTGACTCCTGTTGTTGACTTTACCAATTGACACTCCTGTCTATGGCATCAGTAATCTCCCTATGCTCCAGTCATGAGTTTCCAAGGCTATGGAAGCCCTCTGAGTTCTCCAACTCTTATCTTGTTTAGACAAGGTCATAGTCAAAGTGGAGGTTCTCTCCTCCCTTCAGAGAAAGGTACCTCCTTCTTTGATGGCCTGTTCTTTCCACTGGGATCTCACTCGCAGAGATCTTTTGCCAGAGTGTCTTGGCTTTCCATGCCTGAAATACTCTCATGAGCTTTTCAGCCAGCTCCGAATGCCTTTAGGGCTGATTCTGAGGCCAGAGTGCTATTTAGGACATCTGCCATTCTATGAGTCTGCTGAGTATCTCACTTCCCATGTTGGATCACTCTCCCCTTTATTTACTCCATCAGTTAGCGTTAGCAGGTACTAGACTTGTCTATGTGCTCCCTTTCCGGGTTCTAGTCCCGGTCGGGGCACCGGATTCTGTCCCGGTTGCCCCTCTTCCAGGCCAGCTCTCTGCTATGGCCAGGGAGTGCAGTGGAGGATGGCCCAGGTGCTTGGGCCCTGCACCCCATGGGAGACCAGGAAAAGCACCTGGATCCTGGCTCCTGCCATCGGATCAGCGCGGTGCGCCGGCTGCAGCGGCGGCCATTGGAGAGTGAACCAACGGCAAAAGGAAGACCTTTCTCTCTGTCTCTCTCTCACTGTCCACTCTGCCTGTCAAAAAAAAAAAAAAAAAAAAAAAAAAGAAAATGAATCTTGATGTGAATGGAAGGGGAGAGGGAGTGGGAAAGGGGAGGGTTGCGGGTGGGAGGGACGTTATGGGGGGGAAGCCATTGTAATCCATAAGATGTACTTTGGAAATTTATATTCATTAAATTAAAGGTAAAAAAAAAAAAAAACAAGTGAAAGTATGAAACCCACTAGAAGAGCAGATATACAAGAGAAACAGAAAAGCAGCAAATGTTGATGCAGTAAAACAACAAATAACAAAGAAAACCAATAAGAGAAGAACACAGAATATTAAAAAGAAATTTTAAAAATGACAGGACTAATTCTTTATTTTTTAACAATAATCTTGAATGTAAACCGACTAAATTCTCCAACTGAAAGATATGGATTGGGTGAATGGATTAAAAAACAATATCCATGGGGCAGGCGCTGTGGCACAGTAGGTTAATCCTCTGCCTACGGAGCCAGCATCCCATATGGGCGCCGGTTCTAGTCCCAGCTGCTCCTCTTCCAATCCAGCTCTCTGCTATGGCTTGGGAAAGCAGTGGAAAATGGCCCACGTGCTTGCGTCCCTGTACCTGCGTGGGAGACCCAGAAGAAGCTCCTGGTTTCAGATTAGCGCAGCTCCAGCCATTGGGGAATGAACCAACAGAAGGAAGACCTTTTTCTCTGTCTCTTCCTCTCACTGTCTGTAACTCTACCTCTCAAATAAAATAAATAAATAAATGAAATCTTAAAAAAAACCTTGCTCTCAAGAATTATTTCCATTTAGTGTATTAAATGGAGGATAATACTATGTCTCATAAGTTAAAGTTACGTCAGAGCTCACAAGAGATGTACCACCTTGGGTTCTTTAAAGACAATTAAGTTTCTGAAAGGAAAGAAGGGGGAGGAATGAAGGGGAAAGAGGAAGGGGAATAAAAAGCAAAATCACCTTCAAGAAACAAAACCATAGAACAGCCCTGGTCTAGACTATTGAACAGTTCTCTTAGTTTTTATATTCCATTCTTTTTTTCTGTTTCTTTTTCTTTCTTGGATTAAATGGGGGTGGGGGTGGGATGGGAGCGAGGGCAGGTACAGTGGGTACTATGTTCCTAATGGTATATTTATGAGATACATACAAATAAAATATTAAAAAATGCTTAAGGAAAAATAACATTCCTTGTTAAATGGTTTTAAAAACCTCTTAAGTGAAGTTTGTATAAATGGAAAAAAGCTATTCCAGTACATGCCAATACAAAGGAAGAATAGGAACCAGCACTGTGGTGCAATAGGTTAACCCTCTGCCTGTGGCACTGGCATCTCATATGGGTACTAGTTCTAATCCCAGCTGCTTCTCTTCTGATCCAACTCTCTGCTATGGATTGTGAAAGCAGTAGAAGGCGGCCCAAGTGGTTGGGCCCCTGCAACAGTGTGGGAAACCTGGAAGAAGTTCCTGGCTTCTGGCTTCAGGTCAGTCCAGCTCTAGTCGTTGAAGCCATTTGGGGAGTGAACCAGTGGGTGGAAGACCTTTCTCTCTGTCTCTCCCTCTCACTGTCTGTAACTCTACCTCTCAATTAAAGAATTAAAATCATTTTTTTTTAAAACAAGGGAGGATAACATTCCTTGTTATTATTATTACACTGAAACTAACACATGAAAATGACTAAGATAATACCAAATAAATTTTTTTACATCCCGAAGACACTTATTTGTATCAGGATGTCCCTGATAAAATGGTAATATTTTCATTTACAAGATAAAAAACTCACTTGCTATAGTAAGAGCATTATTAAAAGTCAATTAAAATACATTGTAGATTATCAACGAAGATGTTTTTCTGTACCTGTAAGGAACTTTCTGACTGATGCTAACATAAATGCTGCTGGTATATGGAGTAAGAGAACATTACATGATTACACAATGACATTAAAAGTAAATTAGAACTCATGAGATAAATTATAATCTTACAATTTCTATAAAAATAATGGATTTGGGGCCAGCTTTGTGGCACAGAATATCTGTGACATCAGCATCCCATATGAGTGCTGGTTCACGTTCCAGCTTTTGCTGCTTTGCTTATGATCCTGCTCCCTGCTACAAAGGAAAGGCAGTGGACAATGGCCCAACTACTTGGGTCCCTGCCACCCACATGGGAGACCTGGATGGAGCTCCTGGCTTCAGCCTGAGCCTGACCCAGTCCTGGTCATTGCAGCCACTTGGTAATGAATCAATGAACGAAAGATCACTCTTCTCCTTCTCTGTCACTCTGCCATTTAAATAAATAAATAAATCTAGAGATCCAAGAAGGCTGAACAGGGTATAGCTTCAGTAACTTAAGCTGCTCTGGGATATGAAAAGAACAAAGGAAGGTCTAGGTTTCCAGAGGTCTCACTGATGGAAATTTTTAGCAAAGAAGTGTGGTGGCGGGGAGAACATGTGGACTCCATGGAACAATCAGAGATATGGCTGCAGCCAGTCACACAGTGCAGCTAGCTCACGGCTTGAGTTGCCATCTTACCATGCCAAGGAGGAAGACATTTCCGCAAGCACAGCCACTTGCAGTTTTAGTGGAGAGGGAATTCCACAGTCATTCACTCACTTTTACTTCGGCCTGGAGAGCCGACTGGGGTATAAGCAACTGCTAGGCTTGGAGCAGGGAAGCTCCCTTACTTTCTCCCCCTTCCCAACCTGTGCAGAGTGTCATACTTGGGAGCAAAAAGCTTCACAGTGCCCCTCTGTTTTTGTTCCTACAAGCATCATAGTCAGAGGCAGGGCAACATGAGGGGCAGAAGATAGACCCTCTGTATCCTGCAATTGTGAAGGGATTCAGCCCCAGAACTATTCTCATGTACTCTACATAAGCCAGGGGACTCACCTTGGCTTCTGGGAGTTAACACCAGAAACAGCCCATAAAAAACTATACCCATGCTGCGAGATATGGGTAATGACTACTCTATACCCTGCAATATCATGACTGTAACAGTTTGTTCTAAATTTCTCAGTGCCACTGGAATCCACCCGGTGGACATAGAGAAGACACTACCTGCATTCCACCTCTCTGGAGTCACACTCTCCTGTATACCTTGTAATCACCCTGTAGGACTGCAACAGGTTCAATTCATGTCCCCTAGTCCAAAGACTAGAGCTGTTGGTGTTATAAGACACAGTACCAGCTGGACTCTCCTAGCAGGACCTAAGGAAGGGTCCATCAACATTACACAGTCCTGGAGCCACAGCATGTAGTGTCACAAGCCCTAGCATCACCCAGGCTTGCCAGCAGGACAAGGGGCAGCCAGCTTTGTCTCCCTCAGTACCAAAAACAAGGCCCTAGCTATCACCTTTTCCAGGAAGACTGACACCATACTCTCTGTGGACCAGAGATACATGCTCAAGGAAACCCTTATTCACCTAAAAGTGACACTTCAATTGCTATGAATTGCAGCAGACTAGACCAATGTGTCACTTATAGACACAGCTGACACTGGCAAAGACAAAAGAAATCACTCAGACTACACTCCTGGGCTCACCTAGAACCAAAGCCAAAACAACAAGCCTAGTAAGACTCTGCATTCTAGCTAAACCATCGACTCTTTTACAATAAAAGCCAGTCCATAAAGGAGATACCAGATGGGCAGACATCAATTAGGGACACATGAGACATGAAGAAGCAAGGCAGCATGACACCTACCAAAGAACACAATTACTCTCCAGAATTAGATCCTGAATGGAAGGAAATCTATGAAATGACAGATTTTGGATTCATATAACCTACCAAGATTAAATCAATAAGATACAGACAATCTAAACAGACCCATAACAAGCAGTGAGATTGAAACAGTAATCAAAAGTCTTCCATTAAGGAAAAGTCCAGGACCTGATGGCTTTATAACTGAATTCTATAAAACCTTCAAAGAGGAGGTAATTCCAATACTGTTCACCATATGGGTACCGGTTCATGCCCTGGCAGAAGTCAGAAGTGGCTGCTCTACTTCTGACTCAGCTCCCTGCTAATGGCCAGAGAAAGCAGCAGAGGATGCCTTCAATCCTTGGGTTCTTACACCCACATGGGAGACCCAGATGAAGTTCCTGGCTTCGGCCTGGCCCAGCCCCAGCCATTATGGCCATTTAGGGAGTGAATCAGCAGATGGAGGCTCTAACTCTCTGTAACTCTGCCTTTTTTTTTTTTTTTTTTAAAGATTTATTTTTCTGAAAGTCAGAGTTACACAAAGAGATAAGGAAAGGGAGAGGAAGAGATGGGGAGAGGGGGGGAAGGAGTGAGGAAGAGGGGGAGAGAGAGAGAGAGAGAGGTTTTCCATCCACTGGTTCACTCCCCAGATAGCCACAACGGCCATAGCTGCACCAATCCCAAGATGGGAACCAGGAGATTCCATTGGGTCTCCCATGTAGGTGCAGGGCCCCAAGCACTCAGGCCATCTTCCGCTGCTTTCCCAGGTGCACTAACAGGGAACTCAATTGGAAGTGGAGTAATAGGACTCAGAAATGATGAATTCCCATATGTGATGCCAGTGCCACAGGCAGAGGCTTAACCTACAATGCCACAGCACAGGCCCCAGGATACAAATTTGTGTCTTTGGAGAGTGCTCTTGATGAATCATACAATAGATTCTTAATTATATAATAGATAATGATCAAGAATCTAAAAAGAAATCATTATGTAAACATAGTTTCCTTATGCTTTCTCTACTGAACTACATTAACTTTTTTGAAGTCCACTTTCCTATTCAGATCTGTTTAATGGCCTCACGATGGCAAAGACAGACTCTCAAAGGCAACAGGCATTTTCATTTATCACAAATCTGGTAATTAATTCAGTAGCCTGCCAATCAACTCAGTTGCTAGTGAAATCTGAGAAATCAGAATGACATAACTTACCGTGCAAATGGATGTCTTCATAATTTTCAGGGTAAAATCTGAAGCAAACTCCAAATCTGAGATAGAAGTTGTATGGCAATCTATGTGCTACACATTAAAAAGGGCAAAGGAAGAATTTAGTATACATATAAAAACAAAACCCCAAAACAGAAAAACATTGATTCCTTTTTTGGCAAAAGGAAATGCTTCAAACCCATGTTTCAAAAACTTTGTTTATTCACGTGTCATTTTTTGGGATTTACTTTCAAATAAATAACATTTAGTATCATTTAGTAATTTCAAATACTATCATTTAGTTATGTTTTCTTTAAATTAGTCTTTTTTTTTACTTGGACTTCTTATAAGCAATAATATATATCACATCATGGCTCTAATCTACTAGTTAAAGCTTTCCTTAGGCAAACTAATGTAAACAATTTCAAATAAATATTTTCTGTGTTCCATCTAAAATCATATTGCATACCACTGTGATTTTCCTCCTACATTTACTACAAGTGGTACATGACAACAGTCAATATTTTTTATAGGAAATGCCAATTTGAAGACACATGCTAATGAAAACAAAAAGTTGTTCTAAAATTCACTTTTTTAACTGCACTTGAAGATAACTTTGTTTTAAGATACTGGGAAAAACCACAAATATTGAAACCAAACATAAAAACTAAGATTCAATTTGGGGAAAAAACAGCCAATTATCTTTATTTTTCTACTCTTCTCTGGTTCAAATTCTCTATTTCACCATGGAGAGAGAAGGGAATCACCTCTCAGCCACTGCAATCTGATGGGAAGTGTGTCGTTAGTTGCCTTGCCATGAGTAGCTTATAATCCAGAGAACACAACTCATGTAACCAAATACCTGAGACATGACACCACAGAATAGTTTGAGAAAAAAATTAAGCCTTTACAATGTGGTTACTTTTATTTGTAGGATGGGAGAACACAGAACAAATTGCATTTGCTCAAAATGATAAATATTTTTAAAGGCATGCATGTTTTTAAAACATCTTTATTTTTCAGTCTTAAATTTTCCATTTCATGTATTTATTCATAGTGGTTTTGGGCACTAAGTATAAAGACCCCTAGAGAAATTAGCATTTTCCTCCCCCAAATCCCCTTTCTGCTTAGTCTTTAGACTGTATTGACTCTAACTGTATACCTCTACCCTGAACCAAAAAAGCCCAAGTAAATCCCTTATTATCAGCATACCAGAACACTGATCAGTCCTATAAACATCAAGCCGGCGGTGGTTTGTTTTTCATAAAAGCTGAATGTAATTTTAATTGGCTTGCTCTTTAGAAACTTCATGTTCATTATTCTATGCTAATTTTTAACATTTTATCCATGTAAGAAAATTAACATTTACTGAATATCTACTTTTTGAAGAACAATTACTGATGCTCTGAGATCCTAACCTAATGCTGAACAAACTATATATATATTTGATTAGCTTGTTGAAACAAATTAAAGAGTTTTTAAGAAAAGCAGGATGACTTTTCTTCACACAGTAAATTCAACATAGAAAAAGTCACAATAAAATCAAAGATTAATGTGGGAAAGATAATAAAACACAAGAAGTGTAACTGAGAAACAAAGACTAGAGCTTCAGCTTCATGGGCAAATTCATGGTAATTACTGAATCTGAAAAGACTAGAAGAAATCTGAATGAGAGAAATTAAAGTTCATAGAATATATGATATGAAGAAAAATCTAGCTGTAAATGAAGAGCTAGAACAAGGCTAGGGCATGGCAGTGAAGCAGAAAAAAATACTACAAGACTTTTTGCCTTAAACGAACCAAATAAATGTAAATAATTACATCAATTCAGAGTTAGATTTGAAGAAACATAAAACAAGGTAAATGGCATTCATAAAGAAAAGTGATTCCAAAGGATAATGTAGTCAGCTGTAAATATTATGACTTCAAGTTGTTTTAGAACCATTAAAATTGGAAGCAGACTAAATATTCATATATAAAATCAATATATTATAATTTCAAGAACTAAGATAAATGGCAATACTGTGATAAAAGACAGATTGATAAAATACCTACCTTAATACCACAAGGGTCTGAGATAAGAGTCTTTGGATCTAAAACCTCCACAACAGCTTCTGGAATGACTGATTTCTTCATGCAGGACATGTTGAAGCCATAGACATCATCCCAGAAAGCAATTCTATCAGCATGTTTATTCACATCACTCACTGCTACCAGGCTGATCGTGCAAATGTCAGGGTAGACTGCAACAAATAAGTCGCACAACAAATTAGCATTATCTCCCTTCACCACAGAATATTGTTTTTTAAAGGTTACATATAAACACCAAACCCATCAGTATGGATTACAAAACTGGAGATTCACGAAGGTATAAGACAAGGGAAAACAACCAAGGTCCATCTAGTAGTCTTTAAAAAAAAGAGACAGCATGATAGAAAAAATAAAAGATATGATGCTAAGAATAAAATAAGGATTTTAGTGATGGGTTCCTATTTAAAAAGTACTAGATTTTTACTTTGTATATTCTTCTAAAACAGATAGGGAACCTTTCTTAGCCAAGGGCCATTTGGATATTTATAACATCCATTCCCAGGCCATACAAAATTATAACTTTAAAATTAGCCTGCTACAGATTTATTGAAACTTTATTCCCTCCTGGAGTTGCCTGAGCAGGACAAACCAAATGATTTTGCAGGCCTTATACATCCTGAGGACTGAACATTCCCCACTCCTGCTCTAAAACATGGAAAGATAAATCATTTTTAAAATGGACAGGCAATTATTTTAGAGGTTGAAATAGGGGTGTGATGCTCTAACCCATATCAGAGTGTCTAAATCTGATGTCCAGCTCCAACTCTTGACTCCAGCTTCTTGCTAATGCAAACTCCAATGATGGCTAAAGTAAGTCCACCCACATGGTAGATCTGGACTGAGTTCACCTTCAGCTTGGCCTGGCCACCACTGCAAGTATTTAGGGAGTGAACCAGCAGGTGGGCTCGCTCTAATAAACAAAAAATGAAAAAATATATATCACATAAAAAATGTGATGGGATTTATAGTTGTATAGAATACCAGTTCATACTATCCTCTCAATATAAAAGGAAATATTTATGGGCATCAAGTATGCCAATCCAATTTACATGCCTCCTACTCTCAAGGAAGTTATACATAGACAATCTTAACAAATGTACAACTACTTGTGAGTTAACAAATACTAAAATAGACAAAATACAAGGTATTGTTGGAGCTCAAAGCAAAAACAAGCAATTCAAAACTGGCTGTAGCAGGGCAGCAGGGCTACCAGTAAGGTAAGAACTGACATCACAGGAAGCTAGGAGAAGGGAAGGAGAAGGATGTTTTAGGAAGAGTCAGTCATGTGCATAGTTACTAGAATTAATAGACGGCCCTTATACAATCCAATTAGAGACACACAGTGAGATATAAGGTCTAACAAGTTAAGTAGGGAACAAATAATGTGTGGCTGGGTCAGTAAGCTGGAATTAAGAGTCCAAGAATAAGGATAATCTAGTGAAAAATTTAACATAAGATAGTAACAGGATTAGATTTTGCTTTTGGTAAAAATCATCTGTATTGCAATGTGGAAAATGAATGGGAAGGTACAAGACTAAAAGCAGAGACAAATTAAGAGATACTTGCAATAATCCAGGTGGCCCGGAGGAGGGTAATGCCCTGGTGAAAGGAGTATTCAAGGAATGTTTAGGAGGTAGAACTCACAGGACCCTGAGGCTGGCTGTGGACTTGTGGAAGAGTCAAAAAAGGCAGTATTTAGCTATAGTAACTTACTTTAGAGACTTCCAACTAATCATTATTAATAGGGAATGATATGGGCACATTCAATAGGGATGAGAGAGTTCTCTGCTTATGGGACAGATAAAAATATCTAATAAGAAGCATAATACACAGGTTTGAAATGCAAAAGCAATTATATGGATTCAAGATATGAATTTCAAGATATGCACATACAAATGGAAATTAAGTATCTGGAGCTCATGAGACCTCAGGAGAATACACAGTGAGTGACAGCATTTAAGGGGCATGGAGAAAAGGAGGCTGAGAAGCTGAGGTCGCAGAAGCAAGCAGAGAACCAGGTGGGCAAATGTCCTCAGAGTTAAGAAAGAATCATTCAGGAAGAAACCCTACTGATAACAAGTAAAAGTTTTTATAACACAAACTCCATCCTTCACCTATCTCAAATATCAACTTTTAGGTGATTCATGAAATAAAAATATAAATCACATGTTCTCATAGCAGCAAACTGAAGTCAAGTATAAACATACCAAAGACACTCAGAAAACAAAGATTCTCATGCTTATTCACTAGCACTAACAGTGAAACAGCGGAGAAATCACACTTTCCTCCCCAACTTTGTTCCTATCTACAGTGTGGATGATTTTATTATTTAATGACAGCAGCACTAAATTATCCTCCAAATAAGGCCCAAGATAATATCTTCTGGCATCAAAGCAACTGCTTCCAAACTTAATTTGTGAGATACCCAGAAAAAAAAAAAAAAGACCTAGGCTATGTCATTGATAAGAAGTTTCTCAAGTTTTCCTTAAGAGGGCATGTAAAGAAAGTAAGCTGGCTGCATTGAGTGGGAATCCACTACTATACAGACTGGATTGTTTCTATTTTCCCATTTTCCACCAACGGGTAAACCTCCTACTTAAATTTCTGATTGAGATAAATTCTTCAAAGTAATAATATGCTACTCAAAATGCCCACACAGCAAAATAATCAGCTAGAGTGAGTATATTTAGCCTCCATGTTGAAGAAAAAAGAATTTGAAAGTGACATTAGATTTTTGGCAAACTTCCTGATATATCCTTTGTTGGACTAAATATGACAATCATAGAAGCTTTCTTATATTATGCTCTGTAATTTCATCCTTAAAGAGGATCATAATAATGGTATAGAAAGCAAACATTTTTCTGTAAACTTAGTATTTTAGGTTGTGTAGGCTCATATGGCTTTTGTTAAAAACTGCTATTAGTGCAAAAGCAACCATACATAAAACATGAACAAATGAGCAATGTTGTGTTCCAATAAACTTTATCTTCAAAACAGGTAGGATATACACAGGTAACTCCTGGTACAGATGGTTCTGATCAAGGCCACCACACTGTGCCACCCTCCAGGAGTGCCAGTCACACTATCATTTACAGGAATTAAGCAGCATCCAGAGCTGTACAGTATATAGACATGAAGATATCTGACACATCCATTTAGTTCTTCTATTGTAGAATATTCTTGCAAATCTCAGAATTTTCTAACACCACCCACCGCTATGTTAGGGTCAGCAAACGATGGCCTGGCTGATGCTATTCAGTAAATATAGTTGCAACACTGTCACTTTCACTTGTTTACCTATTGTCCATGGCTGCTCTGCACTACACTTGCAGAGAGGAATAGTTGGGCCCAAGAGACCGTATGACCTAAAAACCCCAAAATATTTACTATCTGGCCTTTTATACAAAAAGTGTTTTGATCTTTGGCTCTTCATCAAGCAATGTGACATTTCAATATTATCAGTAATGTCACTAAGAAATAAAAATAACTTTTTGTGAGAAAAACACTTAGTGAAAGTAATAAGACAGTCTTGAAACTATACTGATACTAAGAGTAAACTAAAAGAATACAATTAGTTATTGAAGTATATTTTTGAGTTAACTATATTTCACAAAGATACAAAATAATGGTTTTTGCATTTGACAGTATTTATAAATCAAATTATTTACCTCTCAGTAAGATCTATAAATATTCATAAGGGATAATATTTATAATCAGTGTTATAAGTCAGTTTTGCTCTATGTCCATCTCCTCACAGCTGCCTAAATTTTGGGTCACCTGCCAGAATCCTGGCAGATCCTTTATGTTCACATCCTGAAACATTTGTCATTTGATTTTTGTCAGATAGAAGCTATAATTGAATAATTATTCCTTCTTTTAGGTGAAATTAACAAAACGCTGATTGGACAAAAGCACCTCTTAACAGACCATTTATAAATTCATGGCTTTGACATCTGTGTCCTTCTCGACTCAGTGCCCAGAATTCATTTGTCACTAGAACAGCTCACATGGTGAATAGATAAAGATGGGAAATCCTTTATCCCTTAGAAATGCCTTGCAAACTTTTAGACACTGAAGGATAAGACTGAGATGCATAAAGAATCGATTCCTAGGAAGCACTACAATCACTGCTTGTATATAAATAACCACAGAGTAAAAAGATTGGGAACAAAAGAATAGTAAATGAAGTCAAAATAAACTGTTCATCTCACAATATATGTGAACAATACAGAGCAAGGTTTTAGTTAATATAGTCAATGATAGCAAAATGCTTGATATACAAAAAAGGAAATAGACAGCCACCAAATCAGCTGATATTTTGGGAGCCAGAAAAACTTTAATAATGAATTTCCAATTTGTATAATCAGGGCACCTTAATATTATTTGAAATTGGACATATTACCTCAACACTGACTTACAGTGACTAAGCCTAGTAAAGCACAGCTAGACTAATATGTAGCCACAATATACTTTGAAAACCCGTGTATTGAAAAAAAGCAAAAATGATACTGCTATAACATCACTGAACAAAAGCAATGCTAAATGTGAAAACCAGACATGAAGACTACATGAAACCTTTATAACCACTATGAACAAGTGCCAGTGGTTGTTTATATGGAGATTATGTCAAAGTTAGAAAATATTAAGTGCTATACAAATGACAGGCATTATTATCACAATACTTAAATTCACTTCATAACATTTATAAGTACAAACCTAATGTTAATCTCATAATTCCTGTATTTTACACAGGAGGGGTTATATTTAATATTTATTAAGAAACTACTTTATGTCAAGCATCTCAGTGACTTTTGAATGGTTCTATAAAGCTGGATGAAAACATTCATTGTAAAGGTAAAGAAACTGAAAGTAACTTGTCCAAATTACTGTTCTCCATCAGCCAATAAGGTAATTAGTCATCAAGGACACAGTTAGTTAAGGTCTAACTAAAAATTCCATATGATTTCAATTGTGTATGACACCACATTTTAAGCTTTTCAAATGGAAGAAAGGCAAAGAGAAACCCCATCTTGCTAAGTTACATCAGTAGGCACTTGTTGGAAAACAAAGAGGAAGGAGGGCCCACATCCCCATTGGAGTTGGATTCACCTCCCAGATCTAGGTACCTGGGAGGCTGTGGTGATAACTCAAG